CTCACTGATTGGCTGTCATAGTCAGTGTGGTTCTGGTTTCAACAGGAACTCTAACGCTCGTACAGATGCACTCAGTCTTCAATCTTGAACCACACCTCGTTGCGACGGCCCTTTAGTTTAGAAGGCCCGTCATAACTAGCAGTGAAATGGTATTCACTCACAAACTTGTTTTTCAGGTCGTTTTTTTCTACATCTTCAACGAGTTCTCTCCCTTTGGCTGCCCAAATATTGTCACTCGCAAAATCGTCGAACGTCCTGCGCAGAATAAAGGGGTATATATTAGTACATGTATTCACTAATTTTAATTCCCATACCTTAAAATGACTTACACCATGATGCCTTCAGGAAACGAATATAGGAACTAACGCTAACGCGTTTAGTGATATAATTTCCCATGAAAACTCCATGACTTGAATAGCGACCCAATAATCGCCGGATCCTGTCCCTACTAAAGGGACGCAACTCTGGATAGCGAATTGCTGCGCCTGAACGACAAAATTGCCTGTGCTCCCCATTTGTATATATTGCGCTATTGTCTTACACAAAGGATAGACGGGACCTTGTATTGGTTTACTCTGCAGGGTCGAGTGGTCAAGCCAGTGACTGATATAAAGAGCAACGGTCCACAGTGTCAGGATACCACGACGAGCTTAACCACCCGATTCATAAGCCTTACCATCACTTACGACTAGTAGGGGTAGCTTTAGACCTGTCGCAACACGAAACACGTGAACATGAGGTTTAGAATTGGTCTTCAGGAGCCAATGCTTATCGTAAGAGGAAACTAACGGGATCGTTGGTCAGGCTCGCCGACATGGTTGATGAAGGCCAAGGTATTCGAACTGAGTACATCGATGAGTGTGAGGTCAGTCACTGGATTGTCTGGTCCACACTCGGTTATTTACATACCGCCGCCATATAACAGGAGTTCCGCATTAAACAACAAACATACAAACAACTTGACTGAACCCCACATTACGACCAACATTGGTTGAGAACCCGTTCTCACCCTGAACCCCCGCATTACGAACAACACTTGTAGTTGAGAAGCTGGTCTAACCCAGAACCCCCGCTTTACGACCAACAGTGGTAGGTGAGAACCTCGTCTAAACCAAAACCTCCGTTTTACGACCAACATACGTAGCTGAGAACCTGTTCTAAACCAGAACCCCTACATTACGAACAACATACGTAACCCGTTCTAACCCTGAACCCCCATTACACAACACTTCTGAACTCCCAGTTACGAACAACACATTACGAACAACGTAGTGAGAACCCGTTCTAACCCTGAACCCCACATTACGAACAACATACGTAGTGAGAACCCGTTCTAACCCTGAACCCCACATTACGAACAACATACGTAGTGAGAACCCGTTCTAACCCTGAACCCCCACATTACGAACAACATATGTAGTGAGAACCCGTTCTAACCCTGAACCCCACATTACGAACAACATATGTAGTGAGAACCCGTTCTAACCCTGAACTCCCACATTACGAACAACATACGTAGTGAGAACCCGTTCTAACCCTGAACTCCCACATTACGAACAACATGAGAACCGTAGTGAGAACCCTGTTCTAACCCTGAACCCTGAACCCACATTACGAACAACATACGTAGTGAGAACCCGTTCTAACCCTGAACTCCCACATTACGAACAACATATGTAGTGAGAACCCGTTCTAACCCTGAACCCCCACATTACGAACAACATACGTAGTGAGAACCCGTTCTAACCCTGAACCCCACATTATGAACAACATATGTAGTGAGAAGTGAGAACCCACGTTCTAATATGAGTGAGAACCCGTTCTAACCCTGAACCCCACATTACGAACAACATATGTAGTGAGAACCCGTTCTAACCCTGAACTAACCCTGAACCCCACATTACGAACAACATACGTAGTGAGAACCCGTTCTAACCCTGAACCCCACATTACGAACAACATACGTAGTGAGAACCCGTTCTAACCCTGAACCCCCACATTACGAACAACATACGTAGTGAGAACCCGTTCTAACCCTGAACTCCCACATTACGAACAACATACGTAGTGAGAACCCGTTCTAACCCTGAACACCCAACCATTATTATGTACGAACAACATACGTAGTGAGAACCCGTTCTAACCCAGAACCCCACATTACGAACAACATACGTAGTGAGAACCCGTTCTAACCCTGAACCCATTACGAACACATTACGAACAACAACATACGTAGTGAGAACCCGTTCTAACCCTGAAACCCCACATTACGAACAACATACGTAGTGAGAACCCGTTCTAACCCTGAACCCCACATTACGAACAACATACGTAGTGAGAACCCGTTCTAACCCTGAACCCCCACATTACGAACAACATACGTAGTGAGAACCCGTTCTAACCCAGAACCCCCACATTACGAACAACATACGTAGTGAGAACCCGTTCTAACCCTGAACCCCTACATTACGAACAACATACGTGAGTGAGAACCGGTTACGAAAAGTGGCGAGTGGCGAGGAATGGAATGTATTGTTCCATGAACCTACTTGTGTCGTTTTCTCCACTGATGTACTTGAAGAGTAATTATTCCATCTTCAAGACGCATAGACATGGTCCTCGTGCTCACCCATTTACATGCCTCGTAGTGCCGGACCTCGAACCCCTGCACAGACACACATTCTACAATGATATTTCATTTAAAACATTACAAATCGTAAATATAACCCAGGATTACAAACTCCATTGACTGTAGATGTTTACCTTGACATCTACACAGTAAGGTAGTCCCAGTAACCCCACCAGTATCACCATTTGTCTCCTGTCCTTAACAAACAAAGGGAACTGGGTGAGTGAGTGAGTGAGTTTAGTTTTACGCCGCTTTTAGCAATATTCCAGCAATATCGCGGCCTTTGACAACAGAAATGGGCTTCACACATTGTATCGGGGAATCGAGCCCGGGTCTTCGGCGTGACTAGTGAACGCTTTAACCACTAGGCTACCCCACCGCCCCTCAAGGTAAGTGGACGACAAAGAATGGCGATAGCTAGAAGCTGTTGGTGACGTCAGTGTCCACATACTATGATTTGAAATGACATTTCAAAACTATAATGGATTTGTATTTATTTCTTTGCTTAACAACGCACTCAGCAATTGTCAAGTTATTCTGTAAATTATGAAGTCTGGACCAGACAGTGCTGGAAGTTGAAATGCAATGCATAAATAATTTTACCATGACGAATATCAACAACGCGCTACAATACGGATTATCCACCTTACATAATTGGGGATTTTTACGTACGCTTTAGTTTGACCAAATCGCTCTAACGAGGAAACGGTACCGTTAGAAGCTCTTTAGAGCGCAATACGTTTTCTACATCAGAAGTATTCCCAAGATGTTTCATGTTTTATACAGGTTGAAATAGCCCTAAAATGACGTCATCATCGAACACCTGGCTGACCTCATTTCACAGGGGTGTCAATGACCGTGGGATCCGGCGTCACATCACAGCATCACACCATCACATCACGCCATTATTTTGGACCAATCAGCAACTATTAAATTCACTCCGGTGTGACTCACGCTGACTGAGGGATCAATGACCGCGCACCCCGTGAGAAACACATCATAGCATCACACCATGACATAACGCCATTATTTTGGACCAATCAGCATACAGCGAACTCACTCATGTGACTCACGCTGACTGAGGGGTCAATGACCGTGCACCCCGTGGAAAACACATCATAGCATCACACCATGACATCACGCCATTAATTTGCACCAATCAGCGCATAGCACCTACGGAACTCACTTGACCACTGACCACAAACTAGTTTCATCCGGTTTCAGTTTTAACTATAAAAACCCCTTAATTCAACATCATGTATCAATTGCCGACTGCACTTTGAGGTGACTTCACGACCAACAAAACCATTTGAGCTCTTGAGTGTCTTCAACAAGTTCAACAAACGAGAGGTTTGTATGTTTTATATATATGTTTTGCAAAAACACACGATGTTTACATTTTACACACCGAGTAACCTTTTTGCTGTCGCGTGTGATTGCTCAGAGCGGGCACCCATTAAGGCTGAATCACCACAGTAATCGCTCACATTCCTGAACGAGCGTGCGCCCATTGAATCACCACACACAGCATTAATCGCTCTTTTCTTTATCTATTTTATTATTTTATTTACATAAAAAATATACATTCTTATATAATAATACAGTATATTTCCTTTGTCCGTCGTTCTGAATAAAAAAGAAGAAAATTTTATTTTACACATGTAGGTGATGATGTTACAATGAACAAATGGCTTATCTTTGAGTCAGTAAGTTTTCAATCACATCAAACTGTCTAGTTGAATGATTGTAACCATGTATGATTTTAGTTACTTCCATTTAACCATGTATGACTTTAGTTACTTCCATTTAACCATGTATGACTTTAGTTACTTCCATTTAACCATGTATGACTTTAGTTACTTCCATTTAACCATGTATGACTTTAGTTACTTCCATTTAACCATGTATGACTTTAGTTACTTCCATTTAACCATGTATGACTTTAGTTACTCAATTCGTCATTCCGTCAGTCAGTAACCTAAAGAGATTTTATTGCTGTCAAAAGCAAGAGGGAAAAAAATAAGTACTTACTTAATGTGGTAGCAACTCCATGATTGCTTGGAGGTGTGCCCGGATTTGGGCACACTTCTCATTCATTGACACGACCTTTAGGGGTCGTGTCATGTGGACATCCCTGAAACAATATGCAAAATATATCATGAGATAACACATATTAAAACCTTAGAATCAATATTGTGTATAACAAAAGCAATCTCACTTAACACTCAATGTAAATTATATTTCTTTTAAACAAAAGTATTATGTAATACATCAACTAAGTCACACTCACAGCAGGTCTTGTTCCTGTTGCTGATGTTGCTGACATTGTTGTTGCTGCTGCTGTTGCTGTTGTTGTTGATGATGTTGAAATTGTTGTTGCTGCTGTTCCGCTAGATAAAACTATAGAAACAAAAATACAAAAACGTATTACTCATGCCTTCCTCACACGTATAATAAAATATGTACCTGATAAAATATGTAGCCGACTTTTAGTGAGATAGGTCTGAAACAACATAATATTTATAGTCAGTAGTGATTTTGCAATTTGATAGAGATATTTAGAGATACTTACATACACAGATTTATCTAGCTGATCAAAAAGTTCCATCTCCCTGTTAAAAAAAAGCATTACACCTACATTTAAAAAATATGAAAATGTTTCTAACAGGTAATACATTAGCAATAACACATGCACGCGCCCTACGGAACTCACTTGACCACTGACCACAAACTAGTTATATCCGGTTTCAGTTTTAACTATAAAAACCCCTTAATTCAACATCATTCATCACTTGCTGACTGCACTTTGTGGTGACTTCACGACCAACGAAACCATTTGAGCTCTTGAGTGTCTTCAACAAGTTCAACATATATTACACGTATTGTGGATGCATCATGTGTACAATAAAGTTTTCATGTGTCAACCAATCTAAACTTTTTTGGCGGAAAAAATCGTGCTAACATACCTTTCATAGTCCATGAATAAAACACATAATGATATCCGATGGTAGTGAAAAATCCCATATGTTTGTGATTGTTTGAAATCAACCATCAGTTCGTATAAGAGTTCAATGTCACAAAACATAGCTATTCCCAACACGTCCCTGACACTACCCATGCAAATGGAATTTCAGTCTGTTTAGGCAGCTCTGGTTTAGGGTAGACTTGCACAAGTCTCTAAGCTAATAAAGAATCCTTTAAACGATAATTTCTTTTAAAAAAATAGAAATATATTCCTCTAATAGACTGGGGTAGACTGTCTGCGCTTATCTTGACTAGTTTATTTAAAGGATAGAATTACTATAAAGCAGCGGGTTTAACCTTTAGCATCGCCTTGGAGCAAAGCTAGTGGCGGTCTCCCGCTCACTGCTCCCAGTCGTTAGACATTGTTGACCCACATTGCGTGTGTGGCACTATACTGTGGCGGGGGGGCAGGGGAAAGCGTTTGTCGACTGTTAGCCTGGCAACATTTCTCGCGCGTGATCGAGTGTGTTTTCGCGAGTGTCAACAACCTGATATGATGGAATTGTGAATTACTCCCTATTCTCAAATTAAAATAGTATGATTTTGCATTGAATGAATGCATCATGATAACACAGTACTTGATGTATTTTAAAACATACAAACAAAACGTTATATGCTCGTTAGAATCAACAGTAGCTAGGGCGTGTCAGCTTTGAAACGTGCGTTCTCGTCATGGGAATTGTACGTGCGCGTGGTAAGTGCTTAGGCGTCTATAGTTAGATGCTGGTAATAATGACGTTAGAATATGTTTTATAACAGTTTATTTGGTTGCAACTGAGAACGATGTAAATGTCTCATGGCCACCACCGTCTCTTTTGTGAAACTTTTCATTTGTATTATCAAGTGTGTTTTTTTTTCACAGAATGGAACAAGAAATCTTAAACCAGTGCCTCCCCCATATCAAAACTGTAGATGAGTTGCTCCAGTTTGCAAATTACTATAATGTAAAACACCTACCCATCGTTCAACAGCGTTTGTTCACTTTGCAATTTGAAGAATTGTGTCAAAATTTAAATTTGGAAGCGGATTGTCCCAGTAAGCCTGATACAGATGTCACAGATATAGTGACAGACCCACCTAGTAGAAAACGTTCAAATTCCCCCATTCCTGGCCCATCTAGTAAACAACCTCGACCTGACAGTCTTTTCACACAGGATTTACACATCAACTATGAGGACTATTTAGATTTTGACTTTGATGATATCATGTTTAATCAAGTCGGACTAGGTGAAGATGAGAGTCGTCCGTATGAGTTTAGTCTAAGGAAACAACGTACATTTGCTAAACATGCAGCGGTTGAAAAAGTGTACAAAATCAGATTTAATGATGAATGGAGAGGTCAAAATTTAGCTGACCTTCACGGTCGGCTGCATAACATGTTTGATGATGTGCTAAGTCAAGCTGGGGGGCAGTTACAAGATTCTGATTTAGGACGTGTCGTATTACACCATCAAAAGTTAGGAAATCCAATTGTGGTCCCACTGAGACCATTGGAAAATTTGAATGCAGATGTCATTCTGAGACATGTGGAAAATGTATTAAAAAGTCACCATCATTTGGCTTTGGATGATTCATTTGATATCGATATAGGTTTGTGGTGGTGGTGGAGCCCGTGGTGGTGGTGGTGCTCGTGGTGGTGGTGCTCGCGGTGGTGGTGGTGGTGGTGCTCGTGGTGGCGGTGCTCGTTGTGGTGGTGATGCTCGTGGTGGTGGTGGTGCTCGCGGTGGTGGTGGTGGTGGTGGTGCTCGTGGTGCTCGTGGTGGTGGTGGTGCTCGCGGTGGTGGTGGTGGTGGTGCTCGTGGTGGTGGTGCTCGTTGTGGTGGTGATGCTCGTGGTGGTGGTGGTGGCTGCATTGCTCGTCCGAGTTGATTCCGGAGATGTCTAAGCATGGCATCCCTTCTGGAAAACGTCTGATAGCACACGGGACACGTTGCTGACTGCATGGTGCTGACTCGTGGTGGTGGTGCTCGTCGTGGTGGTGGTGGTGCTCGTGGTGGTGGTGGTGCTCGTGGTGGTGGTGGTGGTGCTCGCGGTGGTGGTGGTGCTCGTGGTGGTGGTGGTGGTGCTCGTGGTGGTGGTGGGGCTCGTGGTGGTGGTGGCTGCATTGCTCGTCTGTGTTGATTCCGGAGATGTCTAAGCATGGCATCCCTTCTGGAAAACGTCTGATAGCACACGGGACACGTTGCTGACTGCATGGTGGTCCGAGTCTAAATGGCAAAGAAATTGTCTACTAACTGCTTTTATCTATAAACTCGTCTTCCGTTTCTTTGTGCGACTCTGGGAGGAAGTCATTATTTTGGCTTCAGTTTCCCCGTTCTCCTGCATCTGAATACGTGCTTTGGCCTGTTGAACGACTTGTTGGGTTGGAGACGTGAGTGCAAAAGTCTCTTTAGAATGGGGTAGGTCGATCTTTACCCCTTGTTTCTCATAATAGATCACATAATCATCCACGTTAGTAAAGGGATTTGGTCCATTTCTTAGGATCGTCCAAATAGGGTCTCCAGTATCTTCTGTTCATTTTCTTGTTCAGAATGAATACTGACTCTCACACAGAGGTTTCAGATGAAGTGTCACTATCACTGGTTCACGGCTAAATGAAGCTAAATCACCGTTTCTGTCCTTTATATAGATGTCTGCTAGCCCTAATTCTAACTCCTAAAACATGTTGTTAGCAGAGCGTTAGCAGTCCTCTGGGTTATGAGCCCAGTGCGCTTCCACTGTGCCACTCTGCTCTCCCTTCACCTACCTTTTGTTAGGACTTTTATACACCACATCAACCAATGACAACCAAAATTGATTTATTCTCAAATAGTCACAAATACCCTCAGTATTGTACAATGAACATCACACTCTTACACATGTAAATCTACATGACTACCCCAACGGACCACCTCTTTCTGAGGTACTCCTTCCAGGACCAAATACGGACAGTTTGTCATTCTTCCTCAGGATATCACGGTGAGCGGCTTCCATTTACTATCTTCGATGTAAACGGCTACCAGAACCAATAGAGTCAAGAGCATGCGTGCGTTCTCTCTGGCGACTGAAGTCTGAATGACATGGGGACTGTTCGGGGGCCTTATATTGCCCACTTGAGTCTAAAAATACCCCTGGGAAAGTGGTTTATCAAGAGGTCAGCTCAGTACAAGGTCATTGACACCCTGTGAAATGCTATTTTCAAAAAGCAGTTTCCCACAGAGGTTACTCCATGTCATATCTTCCTACGTAACCTCTGTTCTAATACGGCCATATTTCCCGGTCCTCGTAAAATCCCCTAGCGGCAAAATATCGCAACACAAATTATCTCCCTTCTTTCTATCCAATCAGAACACGTGTTAAATAGACTTAGATCCAATATGGCGGCCTCCATGGAGTTAGTTGGTCAACGTGCAAAGGAAAGATTCGGTATTTCATGTTTAACTGAAAATCAGAAACTAGCAATAGAGAGTGCAGGAATCAATGGACAAGATGTGTTTGTCGGGACTAAAACTGGTAGTGGCAAGTCCCTAACTTACGAGATTCTCCCATGTATCAGTGAAGCCAAAACGATCATCGCTATCATTTATGATGAGAGGCAGACAAAGTTACATGCCAATCCCTGATTCTTGTTGATATTCCTTCCCAACACTTGCTCAACTTGACTAATACAAGCAAATGTGGGGCCACAAATATCCCTCCTCTGCCGGGGACTTGTGTGGATGTGACACACGAGACATTTAATGGTGAGCTTGTTCGTTGTCAACGAGGGCGATGGAGACGCCATTGATCCGCCATTACATGACTGAGTTCTGTCTAGAAGAAACGTTTGCGCATCGCGCTGGGGAAGACGTTCTAGTTTTCCCGATGCATACGGAAATTACCGAGGCCTGGCGAATGATCACTTTTGAAACAACGTCGCTGATTGCACAACTCAAATCTGATTGCCTCCAATCACGAGTCTTGAACGCTCACACCAATGAAACCTGTCGGACCGTATTAGAACAGAGGTCACCACGTAGGATGAGATATGAAAGGAGTAACCTCTGTGGGAATAGAACACCTTCCCCTACATACTTCAAATTATCTTGCCAGTCTTTTATCCTAGCCTGTGTGAGAGCTTTTGGTTTGTTGAACGATTGTGTCTTATACTGGTTTAGATCCGTTTTTTTTCTGATCTGGGCCCTGTTCCTCAAAGCGATCGTAGCGCTACGAATGTCGTAAGTCTATGTTAAAGAATGGGAGTTACGATCATCTTAGCGCTACGATCGCTTTGTGGAACGGGGCCCTGATCTTAATTACACTCACCACTGTTTCAGTTTCTCAATTCCGCCTGCATGTGCTGTCGTCTGGAGGTTTGAGTCACCCGAAAAATGCACAATGTCATTTAGAAAGTGCTCAAACGTAGCATGTTGAGATATTTGGGATTACACTTTCTCACCAAAGTACAGATTTGAGTACTTTTGGGGTTGAGCCCCATCCGGAGACCCAAAGAGTGAATTGGGTTGAACGCCGCGGCGGCGGATAGCCCTAATGGGCTTTACGCATTGTACCCATGTAGGACATGGAACCCGGGTCTTCGACGTGACGGGCGAACACTTCAACTTCTAGGCTACTTACACCGACATGTAAAGGCCAGCGACAGATGGGATGGGTGGTGTCTAGTGTGAAATGTGGAGTTAGTCCTACCGTGACAATATTGAAAACAGTAATACTTTCAGTATTTGGTATTCACACATTTGTCCGCTGTTCATGGAAAGGGTGTGAAGTTGAACAGCGCTTGCCCAATATATATTGCAGATTTCTTCATGTGCCTTTTCCGCGTCAGCAATGACAGATTAAAAGAGTCTCCCACATTTATACAGCAATATGTACACGTCCACATAGAGTTCCTAACAATACATTGAAAACAGGTATGTTTTGAGTCCTGACTTGAATGTGGCAATACTATCAGAAACTTTCGGATTGTATGGGAGTGAATTCCACAAGGTTGGGGCTGCATATGAAAAAGTCCAGTTTCCATTAGTTTTAAGCCTGAAGTTTGGCACAAACAGAAGCTTTTGATTGGATGATCGAAGGCACCGTTTGTTTGAGTAAGGAGTAAGCAGGTCAGAGAGATATGGGGGAGCAAGTCCGTG